TAATAATAATAATAATAATAATAATAATAATAATAATAATAATAATAGATTAAAATCACGAATGGCAAGCAGCATGGAGATGCCTCACCTGACCCGAGTGTCCAGGGCCCATGGGCTTCTCGCTCACAAGACCTGACTACCCTCCACAGTCACTACTGGCCCATCCTACTCTCCAGGCTGCCTTCTCTGATAGCCTTTTTATACAAGACAGCTGAACAAGAAACATCAGCTCACAGCCATGTGAGAATTGAGACAGTTTCTGCATTTGGATAACTTTGTCCATTAACGCTGTTCTTCTAGGAGCCACAGTTCTAACTCAGAGGACTCAGTCACAGAGTTAGAACCCTTGCAGAAACAGATCATTCTGCACCTGCCTCATCCAGGGAGAGCTTGTGTCCGTGTGGCTCACCACTGATCTTCACAATTAATGTGAGACGGGGCCTCTCAGGGGACCATTGCATGACTACCCAAACCCAACCATTCATATCTTTTATTTTACTTCTATGTTGCATATTCAACACTGTTAGCTGTATTTCTGGTTTGCTTCTATATTAACTTATGTATTGCTTTAGATAATGCCCACTCTAGTTCGCTTTCTGTTGCTGCGGTACAATGCTCTGAAGAAAAACAACTCAGGGAGGAAAGAGTTTATTTGGCTTACACTTCCACACCACTGTTCATCATTAAGGAAGTAGGGACCTATGGTGCTCACAGGCTTGCTCCCCATGGTTCACTCAGCCTGCTTTCTTAAACAACCCAGGACCACCTCCCTATGGATGGCACTGCCTACAGTGACCTGGGGCCTCCCATATCAATCATTAAGCAAGGAAATGGCCCACAGGCAGGCCCTAGGCCTATGTGGTGGAGATGCTTCCTCAACTGAGGCTTTCTCTTCTCCGCTGGCTCTAATTTATTTCAAGCGGACAGAAAGGAATCAGCACAGTGCTTAAAGGTGAGCATTCATTCTCTCTTCATTGTGATGCAGTGCCAGAAGAACAGGCGTTTTGCCATTGCTCCATGCCCAACACCTAGAATAATGTCTGCCTTATGGGAACTTAATAAATATTTGCCAAGAGAATGAATGTAAAGAATGGCAATGAGACTCTACTTGACCTTGGAAAGTGGCCATAGAACACCAGATCCTTCATTCACGGGTCACATTAGTGGTTCAGAATTGTTTGAAGAGTGAGAGCCAAGATTTCCTCCTGCTGTTAGATTTATGCAAACCTACAGTCCCTGAGTCCGCTGTTATTTGTACATGGACAAATTGCCTGGACTAGGGCCACCCATCTGTCACTACTGTTCATTTGCTCCCCGTTTCAGACAAACATCGTAGGGATCCGGTTCCACTCTAACAAAGATCTGGGTAAGAAAACAGTAGACTTCAAAATCACCCAGCATTAGAAAGCCGTACCCTCAGAGTGATGCAAAACTGGACAACGGAAAAAACGACACAGTGCTGAGCAGGTCCACCTGTGACATGCCTGTCCCTCTCTCACAGTGAAATTTACTTCAGTTAAGCCCCTGGCCTTCTGACCAAAGATGCTAACCATCTCGGACTGTGAACTTGTGATGAATATATTCAGCCTGTATCTAGTTTTTAAAGATAGAACTTCCTTTTGACACACGCACGCACGACAATATATAAAACCTAATATTTGTCTAAGACTAGGCTCTGCTCAAGTTCTTCTCAATGCCTTTAGTTGTCTGCAATTCACAGTGGTTGTTCTTCAGAGTGAAGGAATAATTCCAGGTTATTTCTTTTGACAGCTACTTGTAACTTAAGGAAGCATTCATTCTTTAGAGGATTATTTTGAAACTGTTCAATAAAAGGAAACAGAAACTCAATTTGAATTCAATTTTTTTTTTTTTTAAATTCTTCTGTGGTTGTTCGCAGTAATGAAGGATCTTGGTGTCTGGGACCTGCACAGTGACCACTGACAAAGCCCAAAAGACGTTACCATAAAAATTAGTGGTTATTTTAGGTCTATAGCTATAGTATTTCTTAATCCCCAAATAGAAGTAAATCAGGTTTTAAAGAAATTGTTACACCAGGATATTTAGCAACCACTTGTAGCTCTCCACATCTTCACAAGAGAAACCATGGCTAAGGTTCCTTACGTTTCCCACCTTCTCCCAGGTAAGTAGCTGAGCTAACATTTGACCTCAGCTCTGTTTGCTCCGGAAACACTGCTGCTTCTGGGAGGAGCCTCTCCATGGCAACACAAGGCTAGGGTGTCTCTGGACCAAAGAAGCAAAATGTGCA